TAAAGAAATACCTAGTATGTTAACATACTACTTTCACAAATCTTCTCTTAAACAACCATATGTAGCCTGATGTCATTAGTTTCCAAGAACAGCTTAACCATACTCCATACATTTTTATGTTATGCTTTGGTTTCACCCTATTAAATATATTCATTTTTTTCCTTTTTTGACCTATGGGTTATTTAAAAAAAATATATTATTTCACTTTCTCAAATGTGTCCCACTTTTCTATACAATCTCTATTTTAATCTTTATTTATTTATCTTATGGTATTGGGGATAGAACCCAGGGTGATGTGCTAGTAAAAACAGAAGGTTTGTGTCTCCTCCGAACTCATATGTTGAGATCCTCATCCCTAATGTGGTATTAGGAGGCAGGGCTGTTAGGAGACAATTAACTCATAAGGGTGAGTACCCTTATAAAAAAGACYCTGAAAGAGGGCATCATCCAAATCCAACCAAGTTAGCATTCTGATSGCTACTTTTCAGCCTTCATAACTGACAAATCAATGTTTGTGGTTAAGCCACCCACTATGATAATTTGTGTATCAGCTTAATTGACTAAGATGTATTTATTAGCATGATTTTTTGCTTGTTTCTCCTGCTTGGGAAAATTCTGCTTATAGGATTATAAATTTATAACTTATTAAATTCAGGGAATTTTTTTTTTTTAGTTCTCAATGAACCTTTATTTTATTTATTTATATGTAGGGCTGAGAATCAAACCAGTGCCTCACTCATGCTAGGCAAGCGCTCTCTAACTGAGCCACAACCCTAGCGCAAATTCAGCCATTGGTTCTTTAACTATTTTTGTCCCATCCTCTCCCCTTTTGGGAATCCTATTACACCCATATCAGGACACTTGGTGTTATTTCACAATTCACAGATATTGTGTTGTTCATTTTCCAAGTCCTTCCTCTATCTCATTTTAAGTGATTTCTATGGTTGTCTTCAAGTTTATTAATCTTTTCTTTTTTAAACAGGATCTAATCTGCTGATAATCTTATTCAGTCCATTTTTTCTACTAGGACATTATATTTTTCTTCTCTAGATTTCTATGTGTAGATTTTTTTTTCTTTTAGAGTAGCAAAGTGCTATTATTTTCCCCTCGTCCAGTGCTTTTTAAAAAAATTGTGGTAAGCCATTGGGTACAGTGGCACATGCCTATAATTCCAGAGTCTTGGGAGGCTGAAGTAGGACAATCCCAAGTTCAAAACCAGTGTTGGTAATTTAGCAAGGCCCTAAGCAATTTAGTGAGAGCCTGTCTCAAAAAATAAAAATGAAAACATCTGGGGATATGGCTCAGTGGTTAAGTGCCTTTGTGTTTAATCTTTGGTACCATAATAAYAATAACAATAATAATTAATAACAACAACAATAACAAATAAAAAATCATGGCTAAAAACATAACATTTACCATCTTAATCATTTTTAAATAAACAATTCACTTGTGTTAATTATATTTGCATTGTTGTGAATTAGATTTTTGTATATCTTTCATATTTTTTCTTATATTTTTTTTAGTTGTAGGTAGACACAATATTCTTATTTTATTTATTTATTTTTTTGTGGTGCTGAGGATTGAACCCAGTGTGTGGTTTTTTGTAGCGCTGTACCATTGAGCTACAACCCCAGCCCT